CACGCACACAACAGACAAACAAATAACTATGGAGCTGGGCCACACCCAGGAGCTGAGACAGTCTTCCTCTGGGCTCTTCCTGTACTGAAGCAACCCTTCCAACATCCAGAAAACGGGCAGCGACCCCGCACAGGACACAAGTGCGGCCCTGCTTGCCCCCATCCCTGACCAAGGTGAAAGTGGAGACTCCACGGTAATTTCAAGCAACTTACTTGGCTTGGCCTGGCTTCCTCATGTGAAAGCAAAGGACGACTAGATGTCTCTGGGTGTTTTCCAGATCTGGTGACTCCCAGGAGTCAGGGAGCCTGGGACTATGACCAGTGGGGCCAGATGAGGGGCCAGGTACTGCCAGCAGGCAGCAGGGGGCCACAAAGCCAGCCCACGTGCACACTATCGAGCACACTATCGCGCTCCTTTCTGAGCTCCAGGGGCCTGCCCTTCTAGAGAACTGGCCAGCCTGGGCAACTGGGGGCTGAATTTAGGGCCACTGTCTGCCCAGTTCTCAGGAAAGTTGAGGAACAAAATCCCTCACCACATTCCTTCCTACCCGGACCCCACGAGCCCAGAAGTTGGGTGGCTGAGAGCAGACCGTTGGGGCGGCAAGCCTGCTACGCCGCCGTGCGCTCACCAAGCTTTGGCCTGGATGAACCTCACCCTGGCTGCTCCCCTCCCCCTCTGGTGATTCCCTAAGGAAGCAGCAGCCTTGGAAAAAACTCACCCCAAGGCTGGGAGAAAGGGAGACGAGGGGGGAACACGGTCCAGGCTGCCCAGAACCTGAGGCTGCATTCCAGGAAGAGCAAGCACAAGAGTGGCATGCCACAGGTCCCCCAGCCCCACTCCTCCCCACTGGGCCCCCAAAACCACAGCCAGCAGTCCCTTCCCACAGGGAGACCCCCACCCCCACCCAGCAAAACCTCAGCTCCTTTCTGACAGTGGCAACTTCCTCTTATATAACATCCTGATAACCTGGAATCCGGCCTTCTCTCCTTCCCTGCCTCCTTGAACCCCCACTGAGGCCACCCTGGGAGGCTTCAGGTGACCCAAAGACTAGGGATTTCTCAGCTGAGAAAGCTGCCTTCCTCAAGCCCACCCACGCGAGCAATTCAGCCTGGAGCCAAGTGGGCCAAGCACAGCTGAGCTCTGGGAAGCTGGGCTAGCCCGGGACCACCGGCACCAGGGGCTGCGCCCATCTAGGTGCAGTGGGCCCCCCAGTGGTGCTCAGTGCCTAGAGAGTTAGAAACAAGGGCCACAAGCTTAATTTCTGTAAGCCCCAAGGTCTGGGGACACACTGCTTTCCTACCCTAAGCAGGACACGCTTATTTTCTCTCCCTGGTAGGACTAAAAGGGCAACAGGCCCTGGGCCTGGAACTGGTGGAAGGGTAGCAGCTATCTGGCCCACAGCACCTAACACCCACGGCTACACTACGATGAGCTCTCCTCCTCCCTGTATTACAGGAGAGGAAACTGAGGCTCGGGATGTGAAGCCACGCCCCAAAACACACTGCAAAGGAGAAGCTGGGACATGAACATAAGTCCCTCCTTCCTCTGCACGCTCCAGACTTCCTGGCCGGTCCGGGCCAATGTGACTGTCTACACACCATCCAGGAATGGTATTGAATGTGGGTGTGGAAGTGGGTGTGGTTCTGGAATCTGAATTGATCCCCCCACTAACTGTTACTGCTCCCAACTGTGACCTATGAGAGCCAGAGCAAGTGTGCGTGCGTGTGTCAGGGGTGGAGAGGTGATGTGGATTCCAAAGAGCAGTTTCCAACACCAAAGTTATGCTGTAATGCTTCTGATTCATGAAATGAGCTCACAGTCCCCAGTATCCTGAAGGCTGTTCTGCATGCAAATGTGGATCTCTTAGCAGGAGCTGGGGATTTCAGCATAGTCCGCTTAGCCCCAGCCCAGAGCTGTTTCCTTCAGCCGCACACAGTCCAGAGTTCTAACATGCAGAAGCAATTCCTTTTGAGTGAATGCAAACACTGGCTGCATTTCCTGCGGCCCACAGTGAGTCAGGGAAGCAGAGAGGCCAGGAGCTGCTCAAGGACTGGCACCTGCGTGCGCACGCACGCACGCACGCACGCACGCAGGGAAGGTGCCAGCCTCAACTGCACAGTGGAAATGCCCAGACTAGCAGATCCCCAGGCAGGGCCGTCCACAACTCCTCCACTGAGGTCCTCTTAGCATCAGAATAACCAAGACACAGGCTCCAGAGGACCGGCCACAAGGCAGTGGCAGGGAACGGGGTTCGCCAACACCCAGACCTCATGGTGGACTGCCGGATCCTTCAGAAGGTAACAGTTCAATGTGAAGAGGGCCCGTAGCAAGGCCTCGCCGGGCCCCTCCACAGGCCAAGGCCTCTTTTTCTTTTTCTTTCTATTAGTGAAAACCCTTCACTGGTTCAACTAACGTGCCCTAGACACTGCATGCCACACACTCGCACTGTCAGAACACCACGGCTTACACTGGCATTCCAGCTACAGTGCACCTACACTGACTCCTCTACAAACTTGGGAAAGGATACATAGACTGGAGCTTGGAGTCTTTGTTCTTCAGCACCATTCAACAGTAAAATAACTAAGGGACAGTGCACATCCAAAAGGGCATTGAAATGGCACCCAAAATAGGACCGGAAGGACAAGCAGGAGTCTTCCATCTACTTATGGCCACCACCACCACACCATGAGCAAGGGATTCTCTCTCCCTCCCTCCCTTCCTCTCTCCCTCCCTCCATTTTTCTCTCTCAAACTGGAGACTGAACTCAGGAGTGCTCTACCACTAAACTGTAGTCCCAGTTTTATTTTTTGAGTCTCACTAAATTGCCCAGGATGGCCTCAAACTTGAGGTCTTCCTTCCTCAGCCTCCCACGCAGATGGAAGTGCATGCATACCCCTAGCAAAGTGCAAGGGTTTCTTTGGGAAGATCCAAATAACACCTGGTGTAACACCCATCCTCCTCCCACTCCGTCTTCCAGAGGTCTTGGCTCTCCCTGGATTCTTCAGCCACTAGAGTGCCTCGTTACCGCCATAACTGCATGCTGGGGGTTTTTTTTTCCTCCTATTAAAAGCAGCAGCCCACAGGGTCAAACATGAGCTATTTTTAAGACCTCTGCTTAAAAGTTTAACCCTCATGCCTGTAGACACTCCAAGGGTACTCTTTTGTGGAGGGAGTAAGGGGCTGACAGCCTTGGGGAGCCAAATTCTGCCTCGAGCTTGGAAAGGTCACACTGAAAGTGGGCAGGCTGTTCTAGCCAAGGTTGTACAACCTGGGGGACATTCTCTAGGTGCACCAGTGTGACCTCTGGGAGCTACACAGACCAGAGAAAGGAGCCAAAGGCCACTCCAATAAAGAATGGAGACTGGACCAGGGCTATGCAATGAGATGGTTTATCACATCAATTGAATGTTTACATCTTTATTATTCCCTGTGCAGGCAGGACCCACAGATTGTTAAGCAAAGAAGGCTTGTCTTTTCCTTAGGTTCTGAAGCCTTCTAACACCTGTGGGAAGGTAACACTTCTCTGATCCTAGGAGCAGGAACCACACCTTCCCTGTGAGGCTCTGGAGCAAGACAAGTGACTCTGCACCCTCAACAGATCTGGTGGAGGCAGAATAAGAACAGCTCTTCCCACTGTCACCAGACCCCCTGGCTCTGTCCTAAAGCTCCAGGGACAGACCAAAACCTCCACACAGGCCAGACTGCCCCTGCAGGAGGAAGCCAGACACCCTCTGCTCTCCCAGCACAGCTGCCAGCGGAACCCCCTAGACTGGGGCGCCACCGTGGCCTCTGTAGCCTGCCAGCGCTCCCCCTACCCTTCCACGGACTGGTACTCAGGTCCCACCTACGTGGGAGTGGGACAGTCAAGGCAGGAAGTAACCACAGAAGTTGTAGCCAACAAAGTTTTAAATGGGGCAAATGACTTCCCCTTTCATCTTTCCAGCAGCTCACTGTAGACAATGGCCCGGGACACTCGGTGGTCTCCCCTTTTGGAGGCAGGCACCTCTTCCTAGTATTCTGGAGACTGAGGCTTGAAGGGCACACCAGGCTCTTCACCACACCCCTCGCCTTGCCCCAGAGGCCGGGGTGGGCGCCTCTATGGGACAACCTGATGCACACGCTGGCAAGTGTGCCGGCGGAGGTGGGGGTAAACGCCGACATCACCACCCCCCACCCCGCCCCCAGCGCTCGTTCCCGACAGGCACCAAAGGGACACAATACCAGGCCGGGCGCCGTGCGGGCTCGTTGGGCTGCTGCGGGCGGGCGTGTGGGGGCGGAAGACAGATGACAGGTCTGGGGTGCGCCAGCAGCGCCTGGGCGCGCGGGGCAAGGCGGCTCCCCGCGCTCGAAGCTCCGGTCTAGGCCTTGCCCCTTGCTGCATTTGCCCCGGTTTCCGGCCCCCTGCACCTGGGACCGGTCGCAGAAACAGTGCCCCTGCCCGCTTTCCCGAGCACGCAGGCAGCAGAAGGGGCTCCTGCGCCAAGTTCCGCAGCTCGCGAGCCCCGGGCCGCACGCGGAGAGCCCGGGCTCCGCCAGGCCGCCAGTCCCTGCAGACACCACGTTTCCCTCGGGCGGAGGGGGAGGAGGAAGCAGCGGTGCTCCCGAGCTGGCCGGCAAACTGGGGAGGGCTTTCCTGCCCGGGCGCACGCGAGCTGCGTAGCTGCACAAACACGGCCGGGCTTCGTCGCACACGCAGCTGCGGGCGCAGGACGGGAGCGCGGGGGCGGGCTGCGGGCCGCCCATGCACGTCCCCGCGTCCCCCACCACAGAAGTTGGCGCGCGCCGGCCCTCGAGGCCCCGCGCCCGCGCTCCAGGCCGCGCCTGCAGAGCTGCAGCCC